GGGGGGGGGGGGGGGGGGGGGGGGGGGGGGGGGGGGGGGGGGGGGGGGGGGGGGGGGGGGGGGGGGGGGGGGGGGGGGTCGGACTTGTCCTCTAGTACCCTTGAGCGTATTCGTGTTATCTATCCCCCAGTGGTACACACACGCACGCACGCTTTGTCACATATTGTACAGTCGACCCCGCTTTTAAGACACACCACGTTTTCCCAAAAAAAAAGTGTCTTTAACGCGGGGAAGTGTCTTTAAAATTCCGGGGCCACTAACGCACCATCCCCGGGGCCAATGAAGGCGAAACATATGTCAAAAGGTGCGCATTCGCAGCAGAAAGGCGACCACAAGAGGTGTTGTTTGAAACCTACGACACAAGGTGATTTGATGGTCGCAACCACTGCTGCTATTGTGCTGCAATACATACTTGCATACCATCGTTTGAATTTCCCCGTACTGTATCACCAAACCGCTAAAAGCGATGGTGTCCTACGACCTACGCATCGTACATGTACACGACGGTAGTGTGCTGGTGTTGATATGGGCGTAATTGTTTGCTTTATTCTATTTTTTAGGCGTTGTCCTCCCCGTGAATATCTTGCCTAAGATCTCGCTACCGCACCTGAGAAATATCGAGGTTGTAAAACGACACTAGGAAAATGTAGGTTACGCAGAAACACAGAGACCAAAAATGTCGGGAAAGCACAGGGACAAAGAGGACGCCGCGCCTCCCAAAAGGTCAAAACGAGGCACAACACAACACAAACGCCAAATTCAACCTCAGGAGACTTCACCCAAGGCAAACAACGACAACATAAGTGCTTTGCTCTCGAAACCATTTTCTGGGGGGGGTCGAATGGTGGAAAACCCTACGCCCCCTACTTTTTCACATCTGCGGGGCACCATGTTTCTGAGATTGTTGTGTCCTTAAAGCGGGGAGTGTCTTTAAAAATGGTGTCTTTAAAGCGGGGACGACTGTATTCCGTTGTATCGAAAGCAGCTAAAGGCCTGACCGTGGGGGGGGGGGTTACGAGCAGAACGGGCGGCAGGTCGGACTTTGTTGCCCCCTCGTGGTAAATACACACATACGCACGCTGCCGTATGTTGCGTTCCTTGTATTGAAAGCAGCCAAGGCCCGGTGTCGCCTAGGGTAGTAGCCCCCGCAAAGGCGGAGGCGAAGCTTGGGTTCAATGGAGTGCAGGGTCATTTCGACCACTTTCGGGACTTGCGTCGTAACCTGAGGAGCGCAAGCACGTCACCCCGCCACAACAGCAGTGGCTGCGTACCACAAAGCCCGAATGGCCGGCGTGTCAATCGATAAATCTCTTGCTTGTTTCGAGGCCTCCACATTTCACTACTACCGTTCCTACAAGTGCGAAGAAAAAACGGCGAGGGGCGTGAAGTTTGCTAGATGCTGAGATAGCAACGGACCCCACCTAACAACGACGACGGCCTCTCAAGGTTGCAGTCCAGAGTGTTGTTCCTACTTTACCAATGCTCTCTTGCGAGCCTCACTCGACCGTAGTCGCAGCGGCGTTAACCGTCGAGTTATTTCACCTTGGGGTTGGCGAGCTTGACGGCGTTGTAGATCTCGCGGACCTTCTCCGTTGCCGCCTTCTCGTTCAGCCCGTAGATGAACAGATCTACGTCGCTCGACCTAAACGAGGGGGATCATGCAAAAAAAAAAAAATACAAGACATGGAGGCGTTACCAGGAGAGATGAGCCAAGGAGGGGGAGTACTCATGTTTTGCATACCACAGTTGTTAGACCATTGGTCACGAGGGGGAGGGGGGGCGATACGTGGTACTCGGTACTCGGAAAGGTCAAGATTTTTCCACAAGGAGGAAAGCTGCACAAAATAACGATGTGCGATGTGCGCCACACGCAACGACAAGTCACGGGGAGATACCATCCGCGCGACACCAAGCTTTCACCCCCTCAAAAATCAACATGCCAACGAAAAGAAACGAAAATGGTAACGGTAGCGACCACTAGCAGCACGTGATGACGACGACAGTTGGCAACACGTACCGGTAAGCCAGGGTGTGGTAGAAGTCCCGCAGGGGCCCCGGCGGCGGGGGGTGCGTCGCCGCCAACACGCTGCCCCCGGCAGCGACGACATTGTTCCAGTCCATGAAGGTCAGCTGCCCCTCCGTGAACACCTGAAACAAACGGTAGAGACAACATTAACGCACATCACAACCCGGACCGACCGAGTTGAACAGAATCGTACACTCACGGATTGAAGACGGCGTTCAAATCAACCCGAAATGCCAAAATCTATCCTGAAAAACCCGCTCTCATCAAGCAAGGGGGTGTGGAGTGTGGAGGCAAGTGAGTTACCACCCTCTCTAGCGGTAGATAACAAGCACGCGGACGCCCGCCCGTGAACGGGAGAAAATCGCACCCAGAAGGCCGACAAAGACCTTGTGCGGAGGTCCCCTTCAGATACAGTCTTAGGCCCTCTATAAGGCGAGTGCCCGCTATAGGGCGGGCGAAACCGGCTCGCACAGATGGAACACTCGTGACGGGTACTACATTGAATGGTGCGGGTGCCCGCTTATAGGGCGGGTGAATCGGTTTGGCGCATACCCGCCTCATAGAGATCTTACGACTGTAGGGGACAATCTCCCCACCCTCCGTCTGTCGAGAACGATCTGTTCCCTCTTTTCGCATCTTGGCGTCGACGAAGACATTTCTGCCTTTGGTGCAAGAGGACCCGGGTTAGGTTCCGCAACCGGCCACGTCTTACACTCGAACAGGAGAGAGAAACCTCTCGCTGTTGAGTCTCAACAACGTTCAGCGAACGAGTGTCACACTAGCCGTGCATGTTCTCACGAAGCCATGCAAGCTTCGTGTCGAGGGGGCGACAGCAATTGGCGCCGCTCTAACCCACGCGGCCCCTTCTTTCCAAACAATCCGTCCACTATGCACACAACTCCGCTCTCGCGCTTCTTGTCTTTCTCCTCACGTTGAACTGCTGGAAGAACTCATCCCTGCCGACCACCGCGCGGCCGCTGGACCGGCTGCCATCGAAATCGAACAGCCTCGGCGTCGCTTCCTCTTCGGCATCTCGTGCCTGCCGCGGCGCGGGATTAAGAAGCGGCGTGGGGAGGTGTTAGCCCGGAGCAGCAGTCCCGGTGTATGTGCACTGTGTAACCACGGAAGGCGTCCGCGTCAATTACACCGATACGGGTGTCAGGAGGTATACTGAGCAGAGACCGGAGCGGTTCTCAATGTGAAGGCGACAAATATAGATCCAAGGATAGTCCAGCGGTGTAGTGGGGGGTTGTACAAACCGGGTTTGAAACCGTAACTTTAAAAAGAAACAAGGCCGCTCTACAACGTACACACCTGGTAGGTGAAGCACGTGTGGTTCTCCAGCACGTCCATGAGGCCGAGGTGGGGCTGCAGCACCAGCGGGGACAGCAGCTTGACGGGCCCCTTCCACCTGCCCTTCACGCTCTTCCCCGCCCCCGCCACGGCGCCCCCCCCTCCCCCCTTGGCGGCCGCCGCGGCGGCCGAAGCATCCAGGAAGTCATCGTGGGGGGTGGCCGCGTACAGCTGGCGGAAGTACTTGTCCTGCGCCTGCCAGTTGTCCGTTTGGTTGTTGGAGCTTATGACGCCCACCTGTGTGTACGCGCGCGCGAGATGTGTTTTCCGTGTCTTGTTGTCAAGCCTAGGTGTGTACCATGTCGCGCTCATATATTGCTGTAACACGAACGAGGTGATGGAACTTAAGCGTGGGAATACGGCGTCTGTCGACGGGTGTTTGTACACGGAGCGCACGTGACCAATCGCGAAAGGTTGGGGCCTTCAACGCGGTGCGGCCTGTAAGAGCTGCTGGAGTAATGTGAAGGTGAACAGAGGGGAGAGGAGCAAACCAGGAAGACAATGTAGACAGTGTTTGCCACAGGTGGGCAGCAACGGGTAGGAATGTGCCGGTTCCTTCTGTAGCTCATCATCTGCCGAGCCGCCAAAACAAGCCAGCCCACTGACATCAAGAAGGCGAACGACAGCTGGGACACGCCTTAGCCTTTCTCGAGATGAAGAAAGAGGGGAGGGGGCGAACACACGCGGTACGTCATCCGCCCGCTGCAACCCGCAGACAGCGGTGTTGCCGCAGCTGCAGAGCAGAGAACACAAACGCGCGAGATGTGTTGCCCTCTACCGAAAGATGTAGGACGCGTTCACGGCAAGGGGCAGCCTAAAGGCCGCTCTCAAGACAAACAAACATTGCGCGATGACGAATAGGCATCCATGGACTTTCAAGAGACATCCTAGCTTTACTTCAGCCGAGTACTGTGGCCATACATACATACCTGGCAAGCACGTTTCATCGTAGGCATGACATGTTTCTCAAAGAAAAAAAACTTGTCTTCACTTCAAATCAGCGCTCACAGTAGTTTGTGCCGTTTACTCCAACCCGTGGTCACACAGAAGAGTGCCTCTCTTTGAGCCCCCCTACTCACCCCTCCTGCAGTGCTTAGCCCTATGAGCAAAATATGAAAAGGGGCGTTCCCTCACCTCGTCGTAGAGGCCGGAAGCCATCATCGTCTGGAGCGAGACCCAGTTGAGTCGCTCGAAGATGCACACGAGGTACTCCGACAGGAGGCCCTCGCACCACTGCACGAACGCCTGTGCGACAAAAACGAAAACACAAAAACACCCGAACAACAGGGGAAGAGGGGAAAAAACTCGAAACCCACAAAGCACAGGGAGGGGGGGATGTACTCATTTACCGTATATGACACAAGATAACACACCCCCTTGACCAATTTTCGAAGCTCGATTTCTCAACTGCAGGAACAGTCACAGCGCCGAAAATGGCGGCGTTGAAACCGTCTCATCGAGAGCTTTTCGAAAATGTATCGTTTCGTTTATGAATCCTCTTCGTCGTGGAGAAATCGAGCCTTTTTAAATCGATCCAGGGGGTGCGTTATCTTGCGTCATACGTATACGGTGAACGCGTGCCGAAGTCGATAGACCATTGACCTCGCATTCCTACAATGCCAGGACGGGGCGCTACGCCGGTGAAGGCTACGTTCCACAAGGTTGAACCAAACAAGCGTGTCAAGCAGGACAGGAGGATTGATCAACAAGGACAGGCTGTCAACACAGAGGGCATGATACTAGCAACAACAAACAAGAAAAACACGAACCAAAAAAACAGTTTTCAGCGCGCGCTTTCGCAACTCGAGCCAAGTTCTCGCACAACCCCGAAAAGTCGCAAGGTCTGCGTTTCGCAACAGCCGCCCGCGTTCACGCATCGCTCAACAAAAAACTCCCTCCCTCCTCAAAAGGGGGAATATTCCGATCGCACAAAAAAAACTCGTCGTCAAACACTCACACGGCCGCTATACAAAAAACAACCACGGTGCAAGACCGTCCTTTGCTAAACCGTGTGACCGCACAAACACACACACACACACACACACACACCTCAGGGGCGCGGTCGATGCTACCCGCCGCCACCCACGCCGCCCGCTCCTTCAGGGTAGGCACCGCCGACTTCGGGGGTAGGAAGGTCTCGCCGACCATGTCCCAGTAGGCCGCTGCCGCCGCCGCCGCTGCCGTCGCCGACGTCCCCGCCGCGTCCCCGCCCCCGGCGCGCTGGCCCGTCGGGGG